TCGTTAGGGTATGCGTAAGCTTCCGCAAAATCGGATTCCCATATGCCCGTCTTTGCCCAAGCCCAAGCAGCTTGTCCGAACGCCCACGACATTGCTCTCTGCAGATGCTTCCATGGCTATAACCAATGAAAACTTCATTGGCTCTACATGTTAGAAACTGCTTGAGCGAAGACTCATAAAATTGCGAAACTGTGCGAAAGCACACTACTTTTCACAGCTACTTTTCGCGAAAACTACTTTTCACTCTCAGTTCAGTTAAAAATCATCGTTTAAAAATCGAGCGACCGGGCTCGTAGAGAGAAATCGTCGAAACAAAATAACGTATACTCCTTCGACTCGATATCGTACTCGGGTTAGGTGTGAGAATATATTTGCACGTGATAAGTGTGAATAATTGATTGTGTGAATAATTGTAATATATCAGAACATTGTAATAAAATCAGAACAATATACTTATCATGTACTTGCTGTGTGTGTGTGTGTGTGTGTGTAAGCTATGAAAGCTATTTTGTGACACACTACTAACAGCTCACTTGTGTATACACTCGTGTATATTGTTAACTACGCGCCATCGTAAGACACAACACTGTCTTACCGTCAGCAGGATATTGCCGGCGTTCTTGGTCTGTATGACTTTGGAGCACACCGCCTGATAATCGAAGATCCTTATTCTCTCGAAGACGCCTTCCTTCACCAGACTGCTCATTATCGGGCCTCTCACTTTACCAAAGAATTTCCCGGCATCCGTCTCGTCCTCGGCGGCGATTATGTATCCGTTGTTGTCGATCAGATAGCAGGCCCAGCCCTCATCACCGCAGTGCTTGTGACAATTCGTAAGTGTCTCGCAGTTGAACGTTATGTTCTGGAAAAGCGCTTGCAAGGCAGTGTGCTGAAATTGGAAGCCAACCACCGCGGCTGGCGCCTTCATGCCTTTTCCTGTAGACGATGCTGTTATGAGGGATATAGAAACGCTGTACTTTTTATCTTACTCGATATAAAGACGGATTTATTCTTTTACGTACGTAGTCTCACACTACGAGCGCGCGCTCGCAGACATGCCAAGCTAACAGTTTCATTTCATTTGATTTCGTCATTCGTTATTTTATTATTATTTTCTCTTCTTTCATACTTCAGTACTTAGAGCGGTAGCGCTCTTGCGGTTTTGCGCAACACAGAAAAAGGAGACTCAACAGTAGTTCTTTACGTAGTCGCAACACGATATTCGAATTACTACAACATTACTAAATATTCGCAAACATTAAGCTCGATCTTGGACTTTTATTTATAGTCATTTATCCTGTGTTTGTTCCTATATTTTATCCTTATCTTTACATCCTCATCCTTTCGAGTCGTCCGAGTCGAATCCGCACTCGAATGTGATTGATTCAACGGATCGAAGCAGATTGTAGTTTGCAAGAAAATTATCACTCACCGATAAATATGGCACGACTGGCAGTGACCAAAGTAGTGTTGTCGGCACCCTCGTCGTCGATCGGCACGGAGAAGACGAAGCTTTCCGGCTGCACGTAGTACTGCTCAACCGCTCGTTTGTACCACACTTCGTCGACAGCTTTCGAGTGTAGTTCGCTGAAGTGAGCCTCCGGCAAGGGCGTATCCTCGTCCAGTGGAAAGTCTTGCCACCGGGTCAAACCGCTGTGCGTGGCCATGAATGCCAAGGTCACTCCGAAACGTTGTTGGAACTCCTTCCTACGGGAGGAAGAAGGCTCAATGACGAGTCGCGAATCAAGTCGTTCGCGACTCGAGCTGGCCTTTACCGATACTTTTACGCAGAGCGTACTTGAGATGTACGCGGGGTAGAGCGCGCATCAATATACGCATTTGCGCGACAATGTGTATGTACAAGCCTTTTAAATATATATATATATGTATATATATATTATACGCAAGCTCGCAGCTCATTTGCGCCGTTCAGCCGGATGTGCTATGGTGCTTCATGAAAAATTAAATTTTGTTCTCAGACACGTTCTCTCACCTCCCGACCGCAGATTATATTAAATTATTTTTTCCAGATTTTCATTCTTTTCATCACGACAAACAAGCTACTTCGCTACTTGCTTATATCACTAGGCTCCGATTTTGCAATTGTAATTGTAATAATTCGCAAAATTCTAAATGCAAACAGCAGATTGCTAAGTTTAGGTTCCGCTCATCGGTGTACACTGCATTATTTTGTACACTTCCACCACAGTCTGTCAATCGCTAGAATAAATGATTGAGAGTGACAAAGCAGTATTCTAAAAATATCACATTATGTTATATATTTTATTAAAGAGAAGAAAAGAGGAATAAAAGAGAGAGAGAGAGAGAGAGAGAGGGAGAGGAAGAGAGAGAAAGAGATTTAGAAACTGTACACCCGTGGAATGGCGCAAACGAACAAGCGGGTATTCTCAAAGATTCTATTGCAGCATATTAAATGCAATCACATTGGGGAATATCCTCTTGCTTTCGCAGCCTTATCGCTCGCAAAACATTCTTCCTCTTCAGGTCTCCATTTCTGAAAGACGGCGTTCGCCCTACGGAGGCTTGCAAGCTAATTTGCATCGACACCTCAAAGTGTCAAAGAACAGGATAGAGACAGAAAGAAAGAGAAAACCAAAACTGTCGATCGATAAAGGAACATAAATATAGAGAGCATATACTGTAAGAAATACGAAAAGAAATAACGTGAAACAACTCAAGAAAAGAGAGGTCACGATATTCTGGCCATTTCTCCATCGACAATCGAATTACATGTGACTTTACTTTAACATACACGTAAAGAAGCAACAAACGCAACTTTTTAATAAGAAACCAAGGGAGGAACAAAGTGAGAGAGAGAGAGAGAGAGAGAGAGAGAGAAAGAGAGATTTTTCAACGGATTCTGCGACGGAGAATCCTAAAAAGAGTGAAAAAAGGTAAACAATGAAAGAAAAAGAGAGAGAGAGAGAGAGGAGGGGTTAGAGAGAGAACAAGAGAGCGGGCGATCGCATTACGATAAAGTACGACATTATCGAACGGTCGAGAATTAATTCGTTACTTTCTAAGAATGTAAGGTGCGTTGTGATGGCGTTACCTGGGCAGCAGATTCATCAGCCTAGCTAAAGGTCTGCATGGCGTCAAAGTGGTAAGTATATTAGTCAAAAGGAACAGGTGCATTTTCTATCCTGATAAAAACGAAAAGAAACGAACAAGAAAGAAAGAAGAACAGGGCGCCAAAAACGAGAAAACAAAGTAAAACGTAGGACCAAGTGTTCGTAAAGTAATTCGTGTAAAAGGGTGCACGTGTAAATCTGAATTCTGACAAGAAAAAAAACGAATGATATGCATAGCTGGTATGCAAACGTGCGCGTGGATGTATGTAAAAAGAGCAAGACAGAGACAAGAAGATAGGGAAAGAGGGACAGAGGAGGAAGGAGAAAGAGGGAGAAAGGGGGAGGAGGAGGAAAGAGACAGAGAGAGAGAGAGAGAGGGGGGAGGGGGGTAAAGAGATAGCGAGAAAGGAGAGAAGATGCGCCGAACAACGACCAGTCGCTCGATTTTCTTTTCTACGAGAAAGCTCGATCTTTAATTATTATCGTCAATTCGAAATTTAAAATCTTGTCAAATGTTCGAATAGCACGTTCGTGATAGCACGAATTGATAGAACGATGGAAAGGACGCAAGTAATTTTCAGACGCAAGTGTATGACATCATTGTGTTTATCGCTGCTCCTTCGATTGAACTGTAGTACATCTTGAATTGACATCGAGTGTCGCGTAAATAGTTGCAAATAGACTCGTGGTGGAGAAATCGAGCCTCGGGCGACCAACACGAGCATTTAATTAGAAATACAATGGGAAAAGGGACAATTATTCGTTTCACTGGTTTTCCCGAGTGGCTTCGCTATGTTATGTAGGGCCTATGTTATATTTCCTTTCTTGTTTCTGTTTTTTCTTATTTTCTTTTTTTCTGCACTTGTGCCGGCTAAGGAATTAAAATTATGCTCACCCCGTTTCCTCGCGGGTGGTGCTGGGATTTGCAAACCATTCGGTTACCTTAGCGTCAAATACCAAACTGAGCAGCAGATACCTGTCGCAATAGTATGAGTTTCTGTCGGCCTTGTAAGGATTAGCTGAAAATTGATATGAAAGAAACTCTTACTCTTACATAATACACGTGATGATAAAACTCATAAAGATTAATTATAATGGCGCAATCAACTATAATACGCAGATGTAGTGATACGATATAATTTTCGACAATTATCCTAGAAAACGTTCTACCTCGAGAGAGTGCGAAACGCAGTGAACGATAAAAATTGCAACTCACGATGCGAACTGTGACCAGAGCTTGTAGCGGAGTATTCCGGCGGTTGGGATCGTTGCTTCATGTCGATCCACTTCCAGCCTGGCTGACGGGTACGCTCCAGAAAGTGCAGGAGCTGAATCTCCGAGGTGTTGAACCTGTGTTCACCCTCGTAGTGGTATCTAAGCAAGGTGGTTCACAGCAAGAGAGAGAAAGAAAGAGATTCGTGTAAACGCCGTCCGTATATCGGTGTAGGTATGCCTTTTAATGCACATATCCTCGCATTTGTAAAAATCTTTTCGTTTTTTCAGTCATTATCTTAGAAAGAACTTTGACGACACTCACTTGCAGTACATCCAATGAGGGTGCACCCGCCAGTTACTACCCGCGAAGTAATCTGTCACGTTTTTGCCTACGACAGTTTAGTTCATTCAAATTTGGCACGATAGCAGTAATGCATTGGGAGAGGCAGAGAAGAGAAGGGAACGGCTGATGGCGCAGCAGCGACGAAAGCGTTGATGAAGCGTTGCGATTTTCCCGCAAGAAAAGTGAAAGAGAAAAAGAGAAAAATTTTGACGGTTTTGATTGATTTCAGAGGAGGAATTGGAATCGCAATAACTTTGCGCCGACTTACCGCGCTCCCGTACTCGCAACAAGTAACATTTGTCGTGTTATCCTTGCATGTTTTTAGCCACGAGAATTGAAATTTTGTCATCGTCGACGCCCTTAGCGATGCGATATCGATCGCAATACTCTCGCATTTCATCTCTCGGCCATCGTTACATTGAAGAGTAATTCGCCAATTTAATTTCAATATAACCAGGCTTAAAACAGGCGCGCGCGCGCGCGTGTGTGCGTGTGTGTGTACGCGTGTGCGCAATCGTTCTTATTGAAAGCTTTCGTCGCTACAAGACATACAACTGAATTGAAATACATACCTTTAACGTGAGATCGATGTATCTCCTCAGTAGCACTAACACGATTGTTCGTGTTGTGATCGTACTGAGGCAAACTAACCACCACCGTGAATGGAGTGTCCTTTATCGGAGTATAGTCATATTTTCTTTTCACTCTGCCAACGCGTTTCTAGAACGAGAATCAACAGATGAGAGGTAATACATTAATTATAATGTGATAAGTAAATATAATACATTTGTGTGTGTGTGTGTGTGTGTGTGTGTGTGTGTGTGTGTGTGTGTGTGTGTGTGTGTGTGCGTGCGTGCGTGCGTGCGTTACAATTATACGTTATAACAATCAATTATACTATAAAAACTAATTAATTATATAGTATATATATAATATGTGATTGCGCTTCTTGAATTGTATCTATGGTAACTATAATAGTAAGGTGTGTGTACATTGTTCATAATAGAATAATTAAAGTTTGCTGCGATAAGCGAGGCGACTCGATCGCTTCCAAAGAATATTGATTTCAAAATCCGTATTTTTCAAGAAGTGCGCGGAAGATGCATGTACTGTGACTAACAATATACTCACCATATCGTCGTAATGATACTTCGTATGAAGCATCACAGAACCATCCAACTGATTCACCACGTTGTTACGAAACTGCGAGAAAATCCAAACATTGTTGTTTAAACACAACAAACTTGTAGACAATGATCTTTTGATTATTGAAGGCGTACGTCTGACAATATAGATAACATCGATCGATCAATACAGTTCGCGCTTATACGGAAAGCATTAATGAAACCCTTCAATTTTGATTCAGATATTTCTGCAGTTAAAACCAAATCAAAATCGAAAGACATCATGAACATTTCTTTTTCTTACGTATCACCGATATCACGGCTTATATGATTTAAACGAGGGAGGGAAAGTTTTCCTTTGTTTTCTTTGTTCGCTGCGCGAAAATAAATACGTTAAATGATTTACAAAGATTATCTAAATAATTTCGTATTAATTCACCATAATTATTCCCTCATCGAATTCTCTGGGGCCTTTGTCGTGGTCCATTAATTCAACCTCCGCCATGTCAACGCTGTTATAAGCAGGTTTCAAGATACCCTGGAACTATAATCATCGCCCATTATAGCGCAATGATGTACACTAAAAGCGTCAGTAATTCAACGTCGAGACGTTGCTGTTTCGAGGACAAAAGTTTCGTAAAAGTGTCGCGTAGTAAAACGTAACGCAAATATCAAAATTTTTCAAGCGTCGCAGATCGAGAATTGCACGTGTGCATAAAAGTTAGGTGTGGTGTTATAATTAGAAAAGAGAAGGAGTGAGAGAGAGAAAGAGAGAATGAGAGAGAGAGAGAGAGAGAGAGAGAGAGAGAGAGAGAGAGAGAGAGAGAGAGAGAGAGAGAACATTACCACTGGTCGAAGATCGGGATGAATCAAGATGAAACCATTGTTCGTAACGATGAAAGCGTAGCCGTTGACGCCGAGCTATTTCCATGCATGAAAAAACAGCAAAAATCATATTATTGCAATTTATATACGTTATCAATTGACACGGTATCAGTTTCATAATCATGGAAGCTATTATAAATACTAATAACTTTCTCAATCCTCTTTTTCTCCTGTTAAAGCCACTTTGTTCGAGAATCTAACGAATCTACACGAATATATATCGAGATTCCATGTTTGACTGTCTGAATTTATCTTTCAGTATTGCTCATCAAACTAAAGTCTTTTTCTTTTTCGGTTATATCGCGCATAGAGCCCGATTTATTCGGACGATTTATAATCTACGACAACATTTTCAGCATAGCGTTGTATAACGTTTGTAACTTTACATGTACCGCGTATGTACATATTGCAAGAGACATTAGAAGATATCGAGTGTCATATTTACGAGTGCAATTTGATAATCGAGCGTAAAATTTCACAATGTCCCCTCGGACGGATAATCTTCTGTCCTAAAAAAAATTGCGTCGTAAAATATACACCTGAGATACTGCCTGAAAGATCATCTGAAGCAAGTTTCTTGTATATTACAATGGCACGCTCAAGATTTCTAACCATCCAATCCGCGGTCCAATTTGTTCCACGCGACTTTTATTTCGAAAATTCGATTTTCATCAATCTCTTCTCGTCTCGTGACGACATTTCCAGAGGTGACAAATTCTGCCTTTGTGAGCCATTGTGAACACCAATTCCGCGTATGTGAATGAGTAATTAGCAATATAGGAGAAGGCGAAGACACACGATTGGGGCGAAAGATGCGCGCTCACCATGTGCGGGATCATTA